ATGGTCCGGCTGCAGACCGCTGGTGCCCAGTAGGTTCGGCTGCAGGGTGTGCCGACTCGTGTGAGGGGTCTGCCGAAATGGGTGCGGGGGACGCATGCGGGCGGTGGCACTGTGGCCTTTGGTGGAGCTCCTTCTGGAGCCACGAACAGTGTGAGTGGTGTGCCGGTATGGGCGTGGGGGACGCATGCGGGCGGTGGCACTGGGGCCTTCGGTGGACCTCCCTGTGAGGCCACGAAACAGGACTGTGCCGAAATGGGTGTGGGGGACGCATGCGGGCGGTGGCACTGGGGCCTTCGGCGGGACTCCCTATGAGGCCACGGAACGTGTGAGGGGTGTGCCGAACTGGGTGTGGGGGACGCGTGCGGGCGGTGGCACTGGGGCCTTCGGTGGAGCTCCATGTGAGGCCACGAAACGTGTGAGGGGTGTGCCGAAATGAGTGTGGGGGACGCATGCGGGCGGTGGCACTGGGGCCTTCGGTGAGCTCCCTATGGGGCCACGAAAAAGCTCCCGCCACGAAATGTGAGGGGTGTGCCGAAATGTGTGTGGGGGGGGGGGGGGGGGACGCATGCGGGCGATGGCACTGGGGCATTCGGTGGAGCTCCCTATGGGGCCACGAAACGTCTGGGGGATGTGCCGAAATGGGTGTGGGAGACGCATACGGGCGGTGGCACTGGGGCCTTCGGTGGAGCTCCCTATGGGGCCACGAAACGTGTGAGGGGTGTGCCGACATGGGTGATGATCCTGGTGGTGATGATGACGGTCGTGATGATGATGATGACGATGATGGTGATGATGATGATGATGATGATGATGATGATGATGATAATGATGATGATGATAATGATGATGATGATGCTGATGATGATGGTGGTGGTGGTGATGATGATGATGATGATGATGATGATGGTGATGATGATGATGACGATGATGATGATGATGATGATGATGATGATGACGAGAGGAGAGAGGAAGGGGGAGGTGGAGGAGGAGGAAGAGGAGGAGGAGGAGGAGGAGAGGAGGAGAGGAACGTGGGGCGACGTCTCTTCAAAACGAGGAACCAACACCACAGGATGGTTGGAAAGAAATGTTGGAATGCCCGTTTTTCTCAAGTGTCCTCGGGGACTCTCTCGGGGCTCTTTTGGGCCTCTTTGAGGCTTCTCGGGGAACTCTTGAAGCCTCCTGGGGGTCTCCTGGGGCGAAGGACTCGGGTTCTCGGCTCACGTTCCCGTTCCTGTGCCGCGGTTGGGTTCATCCAGGGCCGTCTTGGACGTCTCTTCGGCGCTTTTGAAACCTATTGGGTCGTCTTGGGGCGCTTTTGAAACCTCTTGGGCCGTCTTGGGGCAATCCTCAAAGCCTCTAGGAGCGTTTTGCAGCATCGGGAAGCGGAACAGGCGGAAATGCCCAAGTTGTTATTTGGCCTCTTCGAGCTCTGTTGGGAGACCTCATGGAAGCCTCTTGGGTATCTTGGGGGCTCTTGGGCCGTCTGGTGGCCGTCTTGGGCGTCTTGGACCATCTAGTGGCCTTCGGCCCATCCCGCCACCGTGCCTGGGTTGTGGGTCAGAGGCCTCTTGAAAGTTCGTTTGGAATTCGTGGGAGGCCACCCAGGTGGCTCTTGAAGGCAGCTTTTGAAGCCTCTTGGAGGCCGCTTGCGGTTCTCTTGGGGCCTCTTTTTGGGCCTCTTTAGGGCCGGTGGGGCTTCTGGGGGGCCTCTAGGGGGCCTCTTGGGCTCTCTTGGGGGCCTCTTGGGGCCTCCTGGGGGCCTCTTGGAGTGGAAGGCTCGAATTATCGGTTCGTGTTCTCCCTCTTGGGACCCTCTTGGGGCCCTGTTGGGCGATCTTGGGCCCCGAAACGTGTGAGGGGTGTGCCAAAATGAGTGGCGGGGACGCATGCGGACTGTGCCACTGGGACCTTCGGCGGGGCTCCTATGGGGCCACGAAACGTGTGAGGGGTGGGCCGAAATTAATGGCGGGGACGCATGCGGACTGTGCCACGGGAACCTTCGGCAGAGCTCCTGTGGGGCCACGAAACGTGTGAGGAGTGTGCCGAAATGAGTGGCGGGGACGCATGCGGACTGTGCCACTGGGACCTTCGGCGGAGCTCCTATGGGGCCACGAAACGTGTGAGGGGTGGGCCGAAATGAGTGGCGGGGACGCATGCGGACTGTGCCACTGGGACCTTCGGCGGAGCTCCTCTGGTGCCACGAAACGTGTGAGGGGTGGGCCGAAATGAGTGGCGGGGACGCATGCGGACTGCGCCACTGGGACCTTCGGCGGAGCTCCTGTGGCGTCACGAAACGTGTGAGGGGTGGGTCGAAATGAATGGCGGGGACGCATGCGGACTGTGCCACTGGGACCTTCGGCGGAGCTCTGTGGGGCCACGAAACGTGTGAGGGGTGGGCCGAAATGAATGGCGGGGACGCATGCGGACTGTGCCACTGGGACCGTCGGCAAAGCTCATATAGGGCCACGAAAAGTGTGAGGGGTGTGCCGAAATGAGTGGCGGGGACGCATGCGGACTGTGCCACTGGGACCTTCGGCGGAGCTCCTGTGGGGCCACGAAACGTGTGAGGGGTGGGGCCGAAATGAGTGGCGGGGACGCATGCGGACTGTGCCACGGTGACCTTCGACGGGCTCCTATGGGGCCACAAAACGTGTGAAGGGTGTGCCGAAATGAATGGCGGGGACGCATGCGGACTGTGCCACTGGGACCTTCGGCGGGGCTCCTATGGGGCCACGAAACGTGTGAGGAGTGTGCCGAAATGAATGGCGGGGACGCATGCGGACTGTGCCACTGGGACCTTCGGCGGAGCTCCTATGGGACCACGAAACGTGTGCGGGGTGTACCGACATGAATGGCGGGGACGCATGCGGACTGTGCCACTGGGACATTCGGCGGAGCTCCTGTGGGGCCACGAAACGTGTGCGGGGTGTGTCGAAATGAATGGCGGTGACGCATGCGGACTGTGCCACTGGGACCGTCGGCAGAGCTCCTGTGGGGCCACGAAACATGTGCGGGGTGGGCCGGAATTAATGGCGGGGACGCATGCGGACTGTGCCACGGGGACCTTCGGCAGAGCTCCTGTGGGGCCACGAAACGTGTGAGGGGTGTGCCGAAATGAGTGGCGGAGACGCATGCGGACTGTGCCACGGGGACCTTCGGCGGGGCTCCTATGGGGCCACGAAACGTGTGAGGGGTGTACCGAAATGAATGGCGGGGGCGCATGCAGACTGTGCCACTGGGACCGTCGGCAAAGCTCCTATGGGACCACGAAACGTGTGCGGGGTGTGCCGAAATGAATGGCGGGGACGCATGCGGACTGTGCCACGGGGGCCTTCGGCGGAGCTCCTGTGGGGCCACGAAGCGTGTGAGGGGTGGGCCGAAATGAGTGGCGGGGACGCATGCGGACTGTGCCACTGGCACCGTCGGCAAAGCTCCTGTGGGGCCACGAAACGTGTGAGGGGTGTGCCGAAATGAATGGCGGGGACGCATGCGGACTGTGCCACTGGGACCTTCGGCGGAGCTCCCTATGGGGCCACGAAACGTGTGAGGGGTGGGCCGAAATGAGTGGCGGGGACGCATGCGGACTGTGCCACGGGGACCTTCGGCGGGGCTCCTATGGGGCCACGAAACGTGTGAGGAGTGTGCCGAAATGAATGGCGGGGACGCATGCGGACTGTGCCACTGGGACCTTCGGCGGAGCTCCTGTGGGACCACGAAACGTGTGAGGGGTGGGCCGATATGAGTGGCGGGGACGCATGCGGACTGTGCCACTGGGACCTTCGGCGGAGCCCCTATGGGGCAACGAAACGTGTGATGATGTTGATGATGCTGATGTTGATGATGATGATGATGATGATGATGATGATGATGATGATGATGATGCTGATGATGATGACGATGATAACGACGATGACGATGATGACGATGATGTCGATGACGATGACGATGACGATGACGATGACGATGACGATGACGATAATGATAATGATAATGATAATGATAATGATAATGATAATGATAATGATAATGATAATGATAATGATAATGATAATGATAATGATAATGATAATGATAATGATAATGATAATGATAATGATAATGATGATGATGATGATGATGATGATGATGATGATGATGATGATGATGATGATGACCGTAATAATAATAAGAATACGATGAATAGTAGTAATAAAAATAATGATAATAATGATGATGATGACGATGATGGTGGTGGTAGTGGTAATGATGATGATGCTGATGCTGATGATGATGATGACGATGATGATGACGATGATGATGATGCTGATGATGATGATGATGACGACGATGACGATGACGATGACGATGACGATGACGATGACGATGACGATGACGATGATGATAATGATAATGATAATGATAATGATAATGATAATGATAATGATAATGATAATGATAATGATGATGATGATGATGATGATGATGATGATGATGATGATGATGATGATGATGATGATGATGATGATGATGATGATGATGATGATGATGATGATGAGAGGAGGGGAGGAGGGAGGAGGAAGGAGGAACGCGGGGCGACGTCTCTTCAAAACGAGGACCCAACACCACAGGATGGTTGGGAACAACTACTTGTGTCGCCTCATGAGGGCCTCATGGGAGTCATTTTGAGGGTATCTTGGCCGACTTGAGGCCCTCTTGGGCTGTCTTCAAGCCGTGTTGGACTAACATTGAAACGCTCTTGTACAATCTTGGGCTCTCTTGGAGCGCTCTTGGCTCATCTTGGCGCCCTCCTGGACGTCTCTCGGGCCCTCTCGTCGCCCCCCTTCCCCTCCTTTGACGCGTTCTGGCGCCCCCCGACGGGTCCAAAACGGCCGGGTACCGAATCAGTTAACTCGGGGGCCCCTGGGACCCCCTCCCCAATTATTTAGATATACATATATATATATATGTATATAGACATCTCGCTCCTTCTCGCGTTGACGTTTCCATCTGCTCGGAGTCGC